GTAATAATTGTAATTATGAAGCAATAAGATGCTTATCTTAACATACTAAGTAGGTTAGGTAAGGTCGGTGATTTCTATGAAGCTTTTCAAGGGAAACTATTATGTTAAGTATGTCACCTATGCACATATTTAATAAGTCAATATTGACTTATTAAATTTGCGAGAACGGGTTGGTGGCTGCCACTCTTTGTTTTGCTCACCATACTATCTTAGTGGTTTGCTATGGGAAACACATATGTACATGGGTATATATAGTGTAAGAACAGCAACAGAAGAATGTTGAGAGGAGCTATTTTGGTGAGGGAGGTGACGTAATCGTAGCATCGTCTGCTGTGTGATTTTATATGCAGTGTATGGTGACCACTGTACTGTTTGGACACAGTACCGGCTTACTTGCATAGTTCTGGTAAATAAAACATGTAGATAGGTATATAGAACATGTGTAATAAGACCTATAACAGCATGGTGGGAGGAGCAATGTTGGCGAGTAAGATGTTGGAGTGAGGGAGACTGGCTGGGTATGGCTGCTCTCACTCGAGGTGTTCTCAATGTGTTCATGGCCAAATGCTCCTATTGGCCCATACGAGGAAGCTGCTATTGGCCCATACGAGGCAGCTGCTATTGGCCCATACGAGGCAGCAGCTATTGGCCCATACGAGGCAGCTGCTATTGGCCCATATGAGGCAGCTCCTAGTGGCTCATACGAGGCAGCTCCTATTGGCCCATCGAGGCAGCTGCTATTGGCCCATACGAGGCAGCTGCTATTGGCCCATATGAGGCAGCTGCTATTGACCCATACGAGGCAGCTCCTAGTGGCCCATACGAGGCAGCTCCCATTGACCCATACGAGGCAGCTCCTATTGGCCCATATGAAGCAGCTGCTATGTGATGTTCTGAATGTGTTGATGGTAAATGTATATAGTGTGTGACAGTGTATAGTGTGTACATATGTTGTAAATATACATAAATGAACATGAAACATTGGTGTGAATAACTGTATGATGGGAGTGCAAAGTTGGCGAATACAATATTGGAGAAGTGAGGGAGGGCTGGCTGGGTGTGGCAGCTCTCACTCGCGGTGTTCTGAATGTGTTGATGGTGAATGTATATAGTGTGTGACAGTGTATAGTGTGTAAATAGATTGTATATATACATATATTAGCATGATACATAGTAAATATGTGCTGCATGTGTACACAAGTGTCATGCACGTAACACAGTGTCTTCGGACAGTACAGATGTTTTACTGCCATAATATAGTGTACGTGTTCACTATACATAGGATTAGCACGTAAAAACAAATAAAATGTATTTGGAACTGTGCGAAAAAAATGAACGAAAATATATTCGCGGCAACTCGCGCGCCCCGCCCCGAGCGCCCTACTAGCTCCGGGAGCGTACGTCACGGGCAAACAGGGAATGATGACGTCACGCCCCAACTTACGGACCCCCTTGCAGCCAAAGTAAGTACAATTTCGATTTTTTTTCTACATACCCATACTGAGGAAAGGGTTTCTGACACTTTAAAAAGAAAAAAGAATTTTTTTCAGAGAATTTATTTCCTGCGCACTGCAGGGGTGTCATATTTGGAGGCAACGCAGTTAAGGCGTTAATTCCTTTCCACATAATTTTTAGGTTTGTGTGTGGTCTATTTTCTCCTATTCCACATTCCATAACATTGCATTAATTCACACTTAATTCTCTTTGCCAGAAGGTGCTCCAAGCACTTATTTTATCTAGGTCAATTTGAAGGGCGTGTCATATCAAATAACCAGAATTGCCTAAAAGTTGTTCAATTTCATTAAAAATTTATTTTCTAAGATTTTGCTAGTTAATAGTCTAATTTAATGAACAAGACATATATAGGTAAAACAAATACAGAAGATATTTATGTAAACCCCAGCAATAAAAAATAAACCTGGTAAAAGCATAATACCAATGCTTATTATAATTAGTCTGTATCAGACCATCTATATGCAAGTTTTCTAGAGCTGTAATGAGGAAACAAGTTGGCTATCTTCTCTCTAACTTATGGATCTTTATCTTGCCTCTCTCATGTATATTTCCTGTCTCTGGCCTTCTCTTGATTGTTTGCTATGTCTGACACCCACACTACCTTAATATTATTTCACCAGAACCTTCTTCAATTCATTTTAGTGCACTCTCCAAGACAAATCTAACTTGTTCATAAGCTTGTTTCTTAATGCCACCACTTGATAAGAACACCACACATTACGTCAAACCAACCAACGTGTCTTCAAGATATGTTTTGTGCTCTAATTAAAAATTCCCAGAGGCAGCTGAATTGCACAAGATTCTATACATGACCACTCACTTAATGAAAGATAACTCCTATAGGGACCACATATCAAAGATAAAATTGTAATAATACTTTTAGTATCATACTTTTTGTGTTGGACGGAGGTATAACAGGAAGCATTATGCATGTGACATGGGTACTATTCTGTAAATAATTACATGTTACTGCAATGTCACTTACCTTCTCATGGTTGTTTACGTTTTCCTCAGAAGTAGAAGATCTTGAGGATATAACTTCTGGTTCTTCATGATCCTCAGTTTCCTTCTCAACTGCCTCATTCTCTATTGCTCCTTCATTACTGTTTTCTTTTTCTCCCCGATTTCTTTCACTCTCTCCATTAGCTTGTTCCCCCACCTCTCCCTCACCTTCTTCAGGTGGATATCCTCCATACATAGCCAGCAGCTGTGCAATGGGCATGTCCTGTTCCTGGGGTAACAAAAAATATTACCTGTTAATTCTAACTAGTTTGAGCACAAGCCTTGAGTGCAAGTCTTAATTTACCCTGATAATTACTGTCACTCTCCCCATGTAATTTTTAACAGAAGATAAGCTGGTAAACCCTTCATGATACTACACAGCTGGTTCTGCTTTACCCATTCTCCTAACAACTCGCTTTTAAAGCTCTCCAGGAAGCCAATAATTGTGTCAAAAACTTAAAAATCTAAAGCTAACTTTTTTGTTCTTTAAATGCAGTATTATCACTTTATTCAAATATCATAACTTAGAGAAACAGACCAGATTTGTTAGTGTTGACAATTCTAAGCTAAAAGAAAAATTAGTATCAGCCATTAGCAAACGATATATTGCCCATATAATAAATAGTTCAATACACTTTGGTCAGAAATAAAGTATAGTAAAGCAAATTTATTTGATAACAGGATATCAGATTAAATTTTCTCAGATACTGACTACTCTCACCTTGAAAAATATACAATGATGGCTCGCTAGCAAACTCAACTTTCCTTATGTCATACATCTTCAATACAATGAGGCTGATCCAATGCATTATCTGAAAATAATGCATTCACAGTTTTTCTTTGTTTATTCTGTGATCTTTAAAAGTATATTAACATTTTGCTGCTAGCCACTAATATGATGCCTCTTTAAAGCAGAGAGAAGCTCAAGCTTTATTTTTTTCACATGACATTATACTATACTCTAAAAGAAAAATTTTATATCTGACCATTGCAAAGAAAACTGGAATTCATCCACAAATATACAGTAATACAGTTTCTTATTAAATTGCATCTTTGATACAAATACAGTAACTGGATTTAAACAAATTTCTCACTGCATTTTTAAGAATTTTCTCGGATCAACTACATGACTAGAAAAAGTAAGACTAACAAATAAATCGGGAAGGAAGGATCACACGAAAGGGGTAAACAATAGGAGTGAATATGATAAGAGATCCAGAACAGTGAATGAGGAGTGGGGCATGAACAGTGCCAAAGGTTATCTTAGGAACAAAGGGTCTGACGGTCAAAAGCTGGATCCCACGTGTAGTATCTAAGATGACCCTTTCAGGTTGCACTCACTTAATGGTTCAATGTAAAACCTTTAAAAGGGCATGCCCTTTTGCCTCTTCACTATGCATATTCCACTGTACGGAGATTAAACAAAGTCTCCAACTTTGTAAGGTGTACAAATTTATATAAAAACCTGATATTGAAAGTAACTAAATATCAGTAACTATCAGTAAAGATTATCTAAAGAGGTTATACCTGCCTATTTAAATAATTATGTTTATAACTAGGGGGGTGTATGAGTGGGTGAAAGTGGACCTGAGAATCAACCTGAGTGTTGGAGAGGGTTTGAGTGATTGAGAGAGTAGGTGACTAAGCAGTTGAGTGTGGGTGTCATTAGATGTGTGTGAATGAGGAGTGTGTGTTATGTTTTTGGAACCCTTGGGTGTGGGAGTGTGTGTTGTGTGTTTGAGAGAGTTTGTGGGAGAAGGAAGTGTGTTGTTTGTATGGATGGGGGGACATGCAATTACCTAGGTGAATGTTCTTGCAAAGATGTATCTATGGAAAGAAAGATGTAGCAATAGGGCTTTGCCTTGAAACAACATACCTAATGCACATATATACCTATCGATACTTTGTATTCTACCTAATTTGCTGTGAATGTTGTTTGCTTTCACAACTAACTGGAGCTCATTCCACTTATATACATTCCACTCTGCATAAAAATATTCCTATAAATTTCTCTTGCTCATCTGTCTTTCCAACTTCCAACTGTGCCCTTTGTTCTATTGTCCTTACTTGAAAAGGATCGTCTTTATCCACTAATTCCTTCCATATCTTGAACACTGTGATCACATCATTTTTTCTCTTTTTAATGTCATTGGATTTAATGCTCTTAGCCTGTCGTCTCAGCTCATCTCTAATCTCCATCACTTGTCTCTTGGCATTTATTTGCCCTTTTAAGTTTTCTTCTTATCCTATACGGTACAGTACTTATCTTATACATTGTTGTCATACTTTACCAGGTGTGCGCTGTGCTAGAGCTGCATATTTTAAGACTGGCCTAATATTCTTTATAAATATCATTCTGAACAATTCCTAGCTTTGATTCTTGAAAACCCATCCAACCTTTGTATGCCAGTTTTGCATATACGTACTGCTAATGGTGAGCATTGAGTCAATATGTTGCTCTGGTGTTAATGCTGGTATTACATCCCCTCCAGGTTCTTCTGCTCCTGCTTCCTGTAACTGTTGTGCTGGTAGACGGTCTTGTCTTTCAAGGGTTTCTCTACCTTTTCCCAAGCCTAATTACTTTGTACTTGTGGAGATTAAACTTCACTAGTCATTTATTCATCAATTTTTGAAGCCTATGTCCTCCTATAGTACAGTACTATGGTTCTCTTCACTACCTAACACTCCTCATAAGTTTTAAATCATTTGTAAACAATTGTCAAATCCTACCTCCTTTGAGAGGTCAATTACATATATCAGGAAGAATAGTGATTGAAATACCAAACCCTGCAGAACCCCACTTGTCACTTCCCTTCCAAGTTGACACTTCCTTTATCACTAGAACTCTTGATTTTCACCATATCAGATACCTTATAAACCAGTCCAATATATTCATGTGTGTGTGGCTAGGTGTGCACACAAAGAAAGCACCATGATATGTAGTTACTAGGATACAACAGGAATAAACCACATACAGATCGAACAGGGATCCCATAGTGTTGAATACAGGTGACACATGGTGTGTGTGATAAAGTCAAAGATTGTTGTTTAATGCTGTTCAATGACTAAATTGATAACCAAAGTTTGCTTTGGAAGGTATGGTGCCCCACCACTTGCACTGTTGGAAATTGAACACCAACCTGCAAGAAGTGAAACCTCCACTGTACTGACAAATCCAAATTATTGGACATATGTGTGTGTGTGTGTGTGTGTGTGTGTGTGTGTGTGTGTGTGTGTGTGTGTGTGTGTGTGTGGAGTGTGTGTGTGTGTGTGTGTGTGTGTGTGTGTGTGTGTGTGTGTGTGTGTGTGTGTGTGTGTGTGTGTGTGTGTGTGTGTGTGTGTGTGTGTGTGTGTGTGTGTGTGTGTGGTGTGTGTGTGTGTGTGTGTGTGTGTGTGTGTGTGTGGGTGTGTGTAATTACCTAAGTGTAATTACCTAAGTGTAGTTACAGGATGAGAGCTACGCTCGTGGTGTCCCGTCTTCCCAGCACTCTTTGTCATATAACGCTTTGAAACTACTGACGGTCTTGGCCTCCACCACCTTCTCACTTAACTTGTTCCAACCGTCTACCACTCTATTTGCGAAGGTGAATTTTCTTATATTTCTTCGGCATCTGTGTTTAGCTAGTTTAAATCTATGACCTCTTGTTCTTGAAATTCCAGGTCTCGGGAAGTCTTCCCTGTCGATTTTATCAATTCCTGTTACTATTTTGTATGTAGTGATCATATCACCTCTTTTTCTTCTGTCTTCTAGTTTTGGCATATTTAATGCTTCTAACCTCTCCTCGTAGCTCTTGCCCTTCAGTTCTGGGAGCCACTTAGTAGCATGTCTTTGCACCTTTTCCAGTTTGTTGATGTGCTTCTTAAGATATGGGCACCACACAACAGCTGCATATTCTAGCTTTGGCCTAACAAAAGTCATGAACAATTTCTTTAGTATATCGCCATCCATGTATTTAAATGCAATTCTGAAGTTAGAAAGCATAGCATAGGCTCCTTGCACAATATTCTTTATGTGGTCCTCAGGTGATAGTTTTCTATCTAGAACCACTCCTAGATCTCTTTCTTTATCAGAATTCTTTAAAGATTTCTCACATAATATATAGGTTGTGTGGGGTCTATGTTCTCCTATTCCACATTCCATAACATGACATTTATTAACATTAAATTCCATTTGCCAAGTGGTGCTCCATATACTTATTTTGTCCAGGTCTTCTTGAAGGGCATGACAGTCATCTAAATTTCTTATCCTTCCTATTATCTTAGCATCATCAGCAAACATGTTCATATAATTCTGTATACCAACTGGTAGATCATTTATGTACACAATAAACATCACTGGTGCAAGAACTGAACCCTGTGGTACTCCACTTGTGACATTTCTCCATTCCGATACATTGCCTCTGATTACTGCCCTCATTTTTCTATCAGTCAGAAAATTTTTCATCCATGATAGAAGCTTACCTGTCACCCCTCCAATATTTTCCAGTTTCCAGAACAACCTCTTATGTGGAACTCTGTCAAAAGCCTTTTTTAGGTCCAGATAGATGCAGTCAACCCAACCATCTCTTTCCTGTAATATCTCTGTGGCTCGATCATAGAAACTGAGTAAATTCGATACACAGGATCTTCCAGATCGAAAACCATACTGTCTGTCTGATATTATATCATTTCTCTCTAGGTGTTCTACCCATTTAGTTTTGATTAGTTTTTCCAATACTTTCACTATTACACTTGTCAATGATACAGGTCTATAATTGAGGGGGTCTTCCCTGCTGCCACTTTTGTAGATTGGAACTATGTTAGCCTGTTTCCACCCGTCTGCTACGATTCCTGTACACAGGGATGCCTGAAAGATCAGGTGAAGTGGAATGCTGAGCTCAGATGCACATTCTCTCAGAACCCATGGTGAAACGCCATCTGGGCCAGCTGCTTTGTTCTTACCGAGCTCCTTGAGCATTTTTTCCACTTCGTCTCTAGACACCTCTATGTGTTCTATGTTGTTCTCTGGAATTCTTATTGTATCTGGTTCCCTAAAGATTTCATTTTGTACAAACACACTTTGGAACTTTTCGTTTAGTGTTTCACACATTTCCTTTTCATCTTCCGTGAATCTATTTCCCATTTTCAACCTCTGAATATTATCCTTTACCTGCAATTTGTTGTTTATGAATTTATAGAATAGACCTGGTTCTGTTTTACATTTGTCCGCAATCCCTTTTTCAAAATTTC